GACAAARTGTGGAGCTTGCTGACCCAAGCAACCTTCTTGCTGTTTTCTCCCAGCTGGTCTCCTCGAAAGTGCAGGAAAGCAAGCTGGAGAGCAGTCTTCAGCAGAAGAAGGCTAGCTGTTCAGACATACAAAAGATGCTGATGGAGGAGCGAAACCACGTAACAGAGCTGGAGGCTGAGTACCAAAATCAACTTTTGCTGCGGGAGCAACAGCACCAGGAAAAGGTAAAACRTGTTACAGAATCTGGGAGCTTCTGTGCTGATGTCTTGGAACTCCTGCTGGAGAGCAGCTCTGCAGAGGGGGAGCTGGGAATCCTGGTGGACACGGAGTTACCTGTGAGGCAGCAGTGCCCTCGTGGCCAAGAAGACTGATGGGCTCCTTTTCAACATTGCCTTAAAAAAATTGCTTTCTGCCAAGGCCCGTCCTGCCAAATCTGCCAGATACCTCTTAAAGAATTCGCGTTTAYTTGTCTCTGCTCTGTTATCACATTTGCAGGTTCTGTACCTGCTCAGCCAACTGCAGCAAAAAGAAGCAGAGGAGAAGAAATTGGAAGAAAAACAACTACAAGAGCGACTCAGGTTCCAGGTAGACACCCCTTTAACRTTGGAGGAGAACCAGATAGTTGTTGGGGGCAGATCTTGGTATCTGCGCTACTCCATGTAAGCCTATAGATTTCCTTGTGTTTTGCCAACAGGAGGAAGAGCTGGAGAAAATGAGGGAGATCTGTGAGAAGAACCAAGAACTTCTCCAGGAAAATGACACTCTTAAACAGGTAGAGAGCTGTACAGACCTTGTTGTAGAAGAGCAGCTTGGCAGGGGCAAGTGCACACCACAGAGGTGACTCTTGTCCTTCTTGACAGAAAATGCTGCTTCTCCAAGTGGCCAGTGGCCAGAAGCTCCGATGCCTTCAGCAGGCGCCGTCCCCAGATTCTCCTTTTGATTACATTCCCCCCAAGGTAAGGAGCAGCTGCCCACCAGGTGTCTGGTTCCCCCTGAAYGCCACTGCTGGCTCCTCACAGTCATCTTGGCTTCTTCCTGCCAGGTGGCTTTTTGCAAAAAGTCTTGTTCTGCTCAGTGGTGTAGACTGGTCTGTGCTTCAGACAGTCCGTTAGGCTTCAATTTTTGAAATATTTCTGGAATTGTTTGGCACTAGCTTTTCTGTTTAAAAAAAAAAATTATGCCTAATTACGTTTGGCTGTCTGAAGCATGATAATAACATTTAACTGTATCCTCTGGAGTGAGCTGGGTGTTTTCCCTGCAGTATTTCCAGTCTGAGTCATGGAGCAAGGCGTCTGTCATGGAATGTTTCATCACTGCCCTGGGAAAGATCTAAATCCAAGGGCTGGGAGGAATAAATGATCCAAAACCATTTTTTGCTAAAACTGTGATACAAATATACTAGTTAGCTACTAAAAAAAAAAAAGGGGCAGTTTAAACCAAGTGTGTGCAAGTGTGCTTGAACTGCCAGTCTAATTATTTGCCTTCTCCCTGACCCTCTGTCTCTCTGGGCTGTTTGAGGGCAATGGGGGATGCTGATGGGACTCTGAAAACCCTACTTTAATTAAATTATATCACGTGTCATAAATTGTAGTCAAAACTGTCCTTTTGTTCCTGAGACCTCAATCCATAAYTTCTGTGTGTAGCCAAAGGCTCGCCAGCAAACGACGGCGAAGCCCCGTGCACCTACCCCCGAAGTGGACGTGGAAGAGCTGTTCTCTGACTCGGGGGAGTCCGGAGGGGAGCTGGAGGACGCAGAGTGGGTGCCAGTGAAAGCAGCCAAAGGAGCAAAGAGAAGCGTCATGGGGGTAAGATGCAGTCGCCCAACTAGCTGCTTGCCCTTGCTGCTACCGACAAGGGACCCCCTTGTCTGCATCCCCGGGCATCTGCTCTGCTCCCACAGAAAAGGGAGCTGAGGTGTCTCCACTGAGTGGAGCAGTCTTCAGCTGAGGTTACCGGGGGGGGGGGAGGTGTCTTTTGGGTTTTTTCCCTTTTTTTTGCAGGGGGGTGGATATGTTGCCAGCTGTGTTTGTGTGATTGGTTATTTGGTGGGTTTTTTGTTTGCCTTTAATTTGGCTTTGGTCACGTTGCAGAAGTAGAAAGCAAAAGTAAGAGTTTTTGCTTTTCTGAGTCCGTACGTGGAGCTCAGTGTGAGTTACTCCTCAGCACAGATCCACAGCTGGCGGAAGCTGCCTCTGCAGAGTGGTTTGTTGTTCTGATAGGCCACAAARTGGCTAAATGGGGTCACTTTGCCTCAAAGGGGGACCCTGAGCGTGGTGACACTGTTGTGCCGAAATGGGTGTCCTCTGGGGGAGCTGAAGTTGGGCACTGCAAAATCAAAGGTGCTGCTTTTGGGATGGCTTCATGGAGAGCTGGTTTGGAGGTGGGAAGGGGACTTTGCTCCATCTCCCAGGATGAGAGACGGGCAGGGAAGGTTCGTGAGGGCTGCTCCTGCCCTCGGCTTCAGCTGCTCCCTGCTGCCACCAAAGCTCTTTGTGCACAAAACTCTCTCCTGCGCAGTGCTCGTGCAAAGGCCGCTGTGGGAACAAGCGGTGCGGCTGCCGGCGGCAGAAGGCCGGCTGCACGGGCGGCTGCACCTGCGACTCGGCCAAGTGCAGGAACAGGGACTTGGCCTTTCAGGTGAGTGCAGCCCCGGGAACACGTGGGCGAGCAGCACAGCTGCTCCCTTTGTTAAGCTGGAGCCTGGCTCGTTGTGATACCTGAAACCTTGGCAAATGTCAGTGGTCAGACACAAATCTGAGGACAAAAAGTCTTTTTTTATGCTCCCAAATTTTATCTTTAGCGTAATTTGAATCAATTAGCTCAATCTGAATCAAACTGAGCTAAGTTGTTTTTGCARTAARATGTTTTGTTTTGTTTTTTTAAGGTTGGAGGGAGCAAGCTGGGCAGGGGAGGATGGTTAGTTTTGCTGGGAAGGTCGGCCTTGCCCTGGCCTCCTGGACAGCAGAAGCAGGGCCCTCCCGCGCTGTGTTGCCGAGAGGCAGCAGTTCTGTAATTGTTCACTAGTCAATGACACCACCTGCCTGCTAGAAGATGATGGCCGATACCTCTGAGAAGGGCTTGGAGATTGGAGAGAACTCTAGTATTGCTTTAACTCCTGCGAGGGAGAGGGTGGCTGGATATTGTCAAAGTGCTTTAAGCCGGTGCTGTCCCTCAGGATGCCACCTTGCGTGAGGACCAGTCAAAGGACTCGGAAGGATCCTTCAAGCAGGAAGAGCCCACGGAAACCTCAGCAGAAGAGGCCTTCTTCCAGCCCGTGTTCATCAGTCCAACCACCGAGGTGCTGCTCGAAGCCGAGGGAAGGGGCGGGTGGGCGCCAGCCTGCGAGCCGGGTTAGCAACGGGCACCCAGTCCAAACTAGAACTGCTGCTGGAGTCCTCAACACACTGCAGCTCTCAGGCCAGCCGCTATTCCGAGTGTGCAGAGCTCTTCCTGTTTAGTACAAACCCACCTTGGTGCAGCAGCTGAGTGATGGGGTTGGAGCTGAGGTGCTGCTCTCACCCCCAGGAACATCCCCTACTTTCCTGCTGCACCTTCCAGCAATAAAAGACGGGCAGAACTGGTGAACGGGGACAGATTTTTACCTATGTTTAAGCTTGTTGTTCTTGAGCTACTTGGACTAGGCAGCTGAAGTTCTGCCTCAGCTAAACTGATCCCTTTAATTTCCTGTGTAGCCTCTGGCTGCCTATTCCCAGCGCTGTCTCCTCCAGCTCAGCCTGGGAATTGGTCTTCAGTTTTTGACCTGAATAAAGAAATTCAGCACTTCTGAAATTGGCCAGGGACTGTAGMTTTTTGCTGTCCACAATCTTTACTGAATTTGGCTGCCTCTCATCAGAGCAGTGACCAACTTCAACATGGCCTTCCTTGCTTTCCTGATAGGTCCTGAAAGATATCACGGACCAGGATGTGTCTATGAAGAAGCCGAGCGYGGCCTCGTCCCTGCTCCTGAGAGACGAGGAGGCCCAAGAGAACCAGATCCCCTTTGTGAAGATCAAGAAGAGGACGCTCAAGAGCACGACCAGCTTCTTCTCGGGCTGCACCCCTATCAAGGAGGAAGTCAACTGAGGAGGAGCCGGGCGCTGCCCCACCCAGGGGTTGTGCTGCACTTCTTTACTGCCCCAGGGGCTGGTGCCTTTGACAACGTGTTGAGCTCTCGCTGCAGGAGAAACCTGACACCGTCCTGCCTCTCACCTGCTGGCACCAGTGGGGGAATCAACCCCTAGGTCTTCCTGGATGCTGTAAATTCTTTTTAAATATTTGTATGTGTGGGACGGGGTGGATGTCTCGTACCAGAACGATGCTGAAAAAGCCCTTTCCCCTCTGGAGTTTCTGTAGTGTGTGAAATCACTTCATCTTTCCTGTCCTTTTCCTCATCCTGAGCTGGGACCACACTGTGATTTAATCCATGACCTTGAAAGAACTTTGACTCTGCACTGGAGCTCTGGGCCCTGTCTCTTCCAGTCCAGAATGAGGAACTGTTCCAGGCTCCCACCTGAGCTCTGGTGGTGCTTGATCTTAATGAGACTCTGTCTTCAGTCTTAAAYGAGCTAGCAGTGATGAAGTGGTCAGTGGTTATTTACCCCTCTGGGCACTGATCCTTGTTCAATGAAGTTAGAAGGGGGCTAGCCTTACAGGAACATTGTACTAATTTTAATTTGTTTTGTAGCTTTAATAAAGAAACTACTTTAGAAAAAAGATTTTTTTTTCCTAGTTGTGGTTTCTGCCCCTCTTCCTGCAGAAGCCTGGGACGAAGGAGAAGCTTCAGGGCTGCAGCTGAGCCTGAACTCAGCGTGGCTGCTCCCTCAGCCGCCTCTGTGACACCACGTGTGTAAGAAGCAGCACCCAGGACTTCCAAGGAGCAGTTGTTTTTTAAAAAAAAAAAAAAAAAAAAAAAAAAAAAAAAAAAAGCACTCTCATTTGTTTTATTTTTTTAATATATAAAACATGTTAAAATGTTTTTTTTTATGTTTCAGTATTGAACAGCTGAGAGCCTAATACAGACCAAAAGCAAATTGTTCCTGAGCAGCAGCCCTTTCCCTCTGCCCCGGGCTGGTGCTTCCTGCACCTGCTGCTGTTAAGAACAAGTTCTGTTAACTGCAGCTAGGCCGCTGAGCCCGGAGCGGCTGCGGGGGCAGGCAGGGGGTGCAAGAGCCGCCCTGCAGGGCCGGGCAGAGGGGCTGGGCAGGGCTGGGGCTAAGGCCCCCCTGCCACTAACTTAGGCCAGAGGCTGAACTGAGCAAGCGCTCTGCAGAAACCCCCTCCTCTACTCTGTATTTCTGCTGTAAGAGACAATCCTCATGCATAGTAAAGCTGCACCTGGAGAACACAGTATAGAAATAACAGTCTAGAAGCAATAAACACATTTAGGGGAAAAAAAAAGCCAGCATGTCCTAGATCTTTCCTTCCTCGGCACGAGTCTGTTCATTCCTGCCTCAGTTTCACATTCAGTATCTCCGTGAGGCTCCACGTCACTCAGCGCCGTCCGCAGTGCTTTCASGGGGCAGGGTGCAACAGGGCAAAAGCCCCCGGCTCCCCCGGCCTCAAAGCCACAACCGGGCGCCAGAGGAGACGAGGGCTCTGCTCCTGTCACCACTTCCAGCGAGAGCTAAAAGGCATTACAGGAAAAAATGAGGTGCTTCTCAGCTGTTCCACCAGGCGATGATGATGATGTTACCCACCCTCTACAACCACTGTGCATTAACAGACTATTTACAGGCTCTCTGCGGTTCACAAAGAGCTTTTTTAGCCAACAGCCCTGGGGCTCAGCACGAATCGCAGCTGGAGGAAGGGACGGCGCCAGGGCAGCCCCCTCACAGGGTATCGTAGTCGTCGTCCTCCTCGTGCTTCCTTTTCAAGGGGTTGGCGTCCCCGGAGGTGTTCTGCGACGATACCATATTTGTAGTAATAAGAATGTTCTTTGGGCCAATTAATGAAGGATTAATTAGAACATTCTGAACTGTTGGAGTTGTTGGTGTGGCTGTAAAGAAGAAAGATGCCATTAAACACAAGGGAAAACCCCAGCTCACACATCAGAGCCACCAGAGCAGGTCCCCCGTTCAGGCTCGTGAGAGATGTTAAGCGTTGACCATCAGAAACCAGTTTTGTGCCAAAAATTCCTTTTCTCTTCTGAGAGCCCTCATTCTCTTAAGTTTGATTACCATTAGCACAGTAGCTGCTAAAGCTTGTCTGGAGTCACTTTTCATGAGCGTCATCTGTGTTCATAAAGCTTTGCATCACTTTAATGTCACATATATTAACAATTTTAGCTACCAGTACTGCTTTTAGAGCTATATTAAGGCAAAAACAGCCTGAAATTGTTCGTTCCGTTAACAAATTCAGAACTTCTTATGATGAGACAAAGCATGTCAATAGCACAGACTGAGAAGTCGAGCCCACATCTGTGTAGCACATGAGGCAACACAATGAGCCCCTACTGCTAAGCCCAACATTCAAAAACTGAAGAGGTCAGATAATGTTCACACATTATTCCTATGAACTCATTTCTGGTCTGCTGAAACGAGCAGCAAGCAGTGAGGTGAGACGCTGGTGTTGCAGAGCTTGTGTCTCACCTGCTTTGACTGTTGCCTGCGAAGACGGGATCTGCACGGTGAACCTCTGCCCGGTGAGCGACACGGGGGTGCCGACCTTCGCGGAAACGGAGACCGCCTGTGCCGAAGGGGTGCCTGAAAGTTAGAACAGGGCGAGCAAACRAACAATTGTAAGAAACAAGGACCTCGCCCTCGGCAGCTCGCCTGCAACACAGGCGCTACTATTTTCACATAAATCAGGAAGTCAAGGAACACACTGATGCTCAGTGGGGCTCTGCCAACTTTTCGGGTGCAACTGCACATTCAGTCCTGCCCAAGCGTTAGCCCTGACGCTGCAGTCCGATGGCGCCCAACATTGCTGAATGGTTGAGGAAGGTTTTAAAAATACTATTTTTTTTTTTCCCCCTCCTCTGTCACAACATCAAGATGGGAAACTCAAATCGAGCTGTTTCTTACCCAAAGTAGGAGTGCTCGGTCTGCTGCTCACGGCACCAACACTCAAGCGAGGGACTGTTATTCGCCCGGCAGAGGAAGAGACCTGTGAAGAGAGAACATTAATTAGACGTGAGGCGTAACGAGAGACATTAACAGTGGCATAACGAGAGACATTAACAGTTCTGAACATTGACAAAAGCAGCATTTCTTCCTACAGAAGGCAGGGACGGGCTGGGCGCAGAGGGGCTCAACTCTCTGGGGCGTCGAGAGCCCCACGAGGTGCCACGGGGAGGCCAAACCCCACGAGGGACACRCGGACCGCCCTCAAGACCAGATAAGGTAAAACCGGGCCTTCCACCCTCACAACAAGGACACCAGCAACACGCAATTGGGCACCTTGCTCACCAAGAGACGGGCACGCTGGAAATCAAACCAAAAATGTGGTTTTTTTTTGTCACTTCTAACCCTCTTAGGCAGCTTCCACAGCCTGGCAGGTCACAGACCTGACATCAGGCCAAAGAGCAGCGGCCACCTGATCTGACAGAGCATCCAGGACAACAGAGTAGCTAACACCTTTCAATGAGTATTTGTTCTTCCAACTTCTATTTATCACTATGAAATATCCCATATCGCTATCTGAAATATGACCTTAGGCTCACTTGTGGAAACACTGCTTTAAGGTGAAGGACCAGAGAATACTACAGATTTAAGTATTTTTCAGCAAGAAAAGTCAATCTTCCCCTCTAAAACAACAACAACAAAAACACACAAGGTATAAGAGGCAGAAAACACTCTAAAAACTCTAAATCTTAGTTCTGCTCCTTGTAAGTTAGGAAACTTGAGGAATTTTGCTGTAAGGCTAAAAAGAGGCACAGAGCCATGCTCTTATGCACATTACACTCAAAATTGGTATCAGTAAGCACATGTGCAGATGCCACGAGCCAAAAGGCAGCGCCCCAGCTCCTGTCGTGCAGCGCTGAGCGCTGCGGCGCCGCGAGAACCGCGTCCCACGCTGCCGCCGCGCGGCCCTCACCTTCTTCTGCAAGGACTTCAGCCGGTAGTTGGGGGCCGTCAGGCAGTACCTGTCCGGGGGCAGCCGGGGCCCGGAATACGGCTTGATCAAGGGCAGGGGCGTCTGGTTCTTCTGCCTCGCGATGTCTAGGAGGAACTGCGGGCGCCGCTTAGCGCCGGGGCTCGTGGCGGCCGGCCCGCGGCGCCGCGCGCGCGCTCCTTACGTCTCGCGGCGGCGGCGACGTGAAGCTCTGGTCCGTGCGGCACTGGATGGCCAAGCGCACGTCGTCGGCGTCCACGCTGGATTTCTTAGCGTGGCTGGAGTAAATCTTGGCGTCTTCCAGGATGGTGGTCACGTACCCTTTGGGAAACACAGCCACTCAGCAAGGGCGGGGTAAAATTGGGAAAAAATGACAAAGGAGCCTTCAAGGCTCCCAATTTATGACTAAAACCGCCAATAACGTCCCCGAGCGGCCCCTGTGCTGCTGCCGGGCGGGGCCTTCGCGCCGGACCCCGGCCCCGCCCCTGGCCCCGCCCCCGCCCCCTGGCCCCGCCCCCGCGCCCCCGGCCCCGCCCCCGGCCCCGCCGCCGCTCACTGTAGGCGAACTCCAGCATCTGGTTGATGACGCGCGGCTCGTACTCCGTGATGCCCATGTCCTTGAGGATCTGCGCCATGACCTGCGGGCGGGAGGCAGCGCTCGGCCCGGCCCGGCCCGGCCCGGCCCGGCCCGCTCCCCCCGCCCCGGCCCCGCCGCTACCTGCGCGTCTTTGGGCGCGCTCTTGGGCGACGCCATCTTCGCCGGCTCCATCGCTTCCGCTCTGCCGCCGACACAGCTTCCGGTCCCGTGACCGGGAAGGGCGGGCGGTGCCATGGCGACGGGGCTCGGCTGGTCACGTGACCGGTGTGCGGGGGGTCGCCATGGTGACGCGGCCTGGTCGGCGCGGAGCGCCCCTCGCCGCCATAGACGTGTCCTTCGCTATTAAAAATTAACTGAATATTGCATTTCTGTGATGCAGAAGCCCTCGCTCTGCGCGGCCGGCGGGACGCACGTAGGGCTGGAGGCCAGAGTCACTCGACTTTGGCAGTGCGGGGCACAGCCAGCGCAGGGAGAATGGTGGGTGCTGGGCCGTGCACGGCCCTCTGGATCCTGCCTGTCCTCCTTGAACTGCCCTCCGGATCCATCCTGTCCTCCTTGTATAGTCCTCCAGATCCCGCCTGTCCTCCATGTACAGCCCTCCTGATCCTGCTTTTCCTCCTTTCAGGAGGTGAGGGGCACAGTTTGGGGTGAAACTCCGCAAAATCTGGTCCTCTGGTGCAGTCTCCCTTTATGCCTCATCTGAGAAAAACAGGCGCACACGGGCGATGAAGCTGCCACCAAAGCCACCTGTCACAGGGAGCAATGGGGAGCGGGTCCCGGGGGGCCCCAATCCCGGCGGAGGCTCTGGGCTCTTAGTTTTCCAGGATCCAGGAAGGTTTTCCARGGGCGCTGGGGGTGAAGCCTTCGCCAAGGGCTGCACTTGCCGCTCATCGCCACCATCCCCAAGTCCTCTGGTGCCTTCCCGCTAAATGCATCCTGCTTTTCCCCTTGTTTCCCCCCAATCTCCACAGACACTTTCCTGCTCTTTCCCTTTAGTGGAAAGTAAATCAGGGCTGTCTCATTGCCGAGACTGACGTCGRAATAAAGGCTTGTCCTTCCTCTCCTAATAATCCCATTAAACCCTCTCAGCAGCCATTTCTCAGTGCCTGGCCCGTGCAGAGGGGCAGCTCGAGTGGCAAAGGCCTTGGGGAAACAGAGCACAATGGAAAATGGTTTAAGTGGCTCGATTGGGCTAATTAAATTCCCCGTGTCAAGGGACTGTTCCCAGCTCCCTGGTAACAGGTGGTGGGTTTTGCAGGGTAAGGAGGAGAGTGGAGCACAGCCCCATTAGCCGGGTGGCCGTGGAGAGCAGGAAAATGGATTGCTGCATAATGTGCACGACAGCGGGAAGGGCGATTGAAAATCAAAGGAATTTCCAAAATGGAATTTCAAATTTCCAAAGGAATTGTGCAGGGGACACCAGCACGCCAGGAACCTGCTGGCAGCTTGGTCCTGAAGGCAGAAAGGTCCTTCTGCAAATCGCTGGGACCGCCTGCAAGGCTCCCCGCTCCTCTCAGCACAGGAGGTTCCACTCCCTCTTGCTTCCAAGTACTTAAATAATCTGGAAAACTGCTCAGGAGATCTGGAGGGATTGTCCTGTCCTGTTTGTGGCAGGCTGGATGGTCTCTCCTCGCACTTCTGTTCTATGTGTTTCTTCAACTTAAATTCTACTAGGCACAAATGATAAAACTGCTCCTGAATGAAGTTAAAAACCAAAAAACACACACACACAAATCCACAGCAACCCTATAATCAAATTTGAATACATTTGTATTATTTATTGGCTGTATTAAATATATTATCTATTTGATAGTTACAATTTAGTAATACAATGCATGGCAGCTTTAATATAAGTTTGAGATACCTCAAAATTACAATACAAGAAAAATTGAAAAGATACCTAATACATTAATGCCACTAGGGTATATCATTCTGGAATGGATAATAGTTGATGTAAAAATCTGTATTATGATAGGCTTTCCAGTAAACGTACTGGAAACACGAACATTTTGTGGCAATTACAGAAGAACTTTATTCCATGTTTTAGGAGTTCTGACTTGTTAGTATTTACTCTGCAATCCTAATTCATCTTTCAAAATTATCAGAAATATTATTGCCAAATAAACCCCTACCAACTTCATTCTAAGAGTTAAAGAAATAACCCTTTGACAACAGAGATTTGCTGAAGGCAGTCTTATTTGCTAAAAGTAGACTATGAAGAGAAATAAAGACAGATTGTAAACTCTTCTGCAAACTAAAGACACTAATATCTGTATAAAACTCTTTCCAACACTGGAGGGAGAGATTTCTATGATATAATAAATGATTAACTTAAAGTTCTGCTACAAGTAGAACAATACATTCAAACATACATTTTCCAGGACTTTTAATCAAAATAAATAGAGTACAAAATGAAGAGTACATTTTGAAAAGATTAATTTCAGATTGCACCATAAATCTACTTTTAAGAGTATTAAGCGATACTATGTCATAAYTTAGGTTCCCACATCTGAAACACAACACAATGCCTCAAACTCTAACGCAACATTATTCATCAACTGCCAGAGGAGAAAGACCCTTAAAGTGATTACTCTTTTGAAATACTTAGCCTGTAGCACTGTCACATCCAACATTCCACGTACAAGTGCATTGCTCTGATGTATATAAAGTGTAGCTGTAGTCTTTGCAAAATATGCTAAATCTAACTTTCTATGGCATATGCCAATGCTGTTAGGAAGACCCATTCTGAAACATGTTCTAAATTCGTGAGTTCCAGCTTTTAAAATATTTGATATAAAGAAGACAGCTGTCAGACTCATGTTTACACATCTGCAGATAAATTTAACAAGAACAGTCATATGTAGTGCACAGTGTCCACAAAAATAACCCCTAGACAAATATGACCAGTTTCAGAAAAGTTCATAGCAGACCAAACAGTCTCATCTAGAAAACAATGGAATGTGAAACTGCTACCTCTGGGATAGCAACTTGTTTAAAACATTGTATACATGTCATCTAAAAAGACTTCTTTCATGTACAATTTGATCATTCAGATTAAGTTAGAAGGGCATCCAAAAGCAGTTTCAACTTTTTATTTTTAGGTTAATAATAGTACAAAAACATTTGCTCAGTTTGAGCCAAATAGTGTAACATTTATCATAAATGCACTCTTTCTCCTTAAAGACAATACCTGTGCTTTTCTGAAACCACTGCAGAGATTGAATCAGAAGCACAGGAAATTACTTTTCTCTCAGGCACTGAGAGTGAAATGTGGATTGGGCCAACAGCTGCTCACCAACAGCAGAAAGCATTTCATTCAGAAATGTACAATACAAAAAGGGGCCTTTTTTTTTTTTTTTGCAATGTTACATACGAATGCAATCACTGTATGTACATTACGTCCTGTTAACATTTTGTCTAGCATTTTAATTAAAATTCTAAAAATGCTGGCACCCTCTACTTTAACGCCTGAAATGATTATTACTGAATCCCGAATATTAAAATAACTGAAAAGTAGTAATATCACTAAGTCAAAGTCAATATTCTGCTTTCCTTCTACAGCATATTAAATGTGGTATGCTCTAGTAATGTTTGCAATACAGTACTGCTCTAAGCTTAAGCATTTGTGCTGCTGTATTTCATGTATAATGAACTACGATACCTGATTAAACTCTGCTCATCGACTACCGCTGCTCTAGTTGGACACGGAAAGGACTCGTTCTAGTAGCGCCTCTCTCCCCGACTGGCCAAAGGGCCCCTCTTGGAAAGCAGAGAGGGGAAGAGTGTGCACACAGCCCTGTGTGCAGGATAAGGCAGTTTTTTGCTGTTTTACTAACAGCTAACCCTGATTACRGAGGACCCAGGATTACCCTTTCTACAAGAAATCTGTGTTCAGTATTTGGAAAGGATCTGCCAACCCAGCCTCACTGTTAGCCAGCAGCAAGAGTGGAAATGCACACAGGGATACATCTCCAGCTAAGATTTTAATTAGAACTAACCATAAATACCCGAAATAGCTTCTGTACAAAAAGCTGAGTACGGAAGGGRCTCTCGTCTACTTGATCACAAAGTACTGAATAACAACAGCAAATAAAATAGCAACCACTGCAAATCCGCAGAGGAGAACGATGGCGATGAAGCGCTCCTCGCGTAGCGTCTTCTTCGTCTCTGCCAGTTCTGTTGTCACGTCGGCACACTGCGGAACCAGCTCTTGTTTCTGAGATGAGAATACTGTACTGGGACTGTAAGGTCCATACAGTTCTTGTGATCCAGTAGAGTCTTGGGACTGGCGGCCAGCGCAGACTCGGATCCGATATTCACAGTTTGTCTGCAAGCTTGTGAGACGGAACGACGTCTCGGGCCCCTTGTATACCTAGTGAGAGCAAGGATGAGAACCACCTCTAATGTGACTCCTCTTACGGACAGTGAGTGGGACTCAGGCCGGCCTTTGCAGTCATCTGCTTTTACAGTACAGTAGCTAAAGCTCACTACAAAATTGAAATGTTAAGACCTTCACTTTACAGATCAGTTCCCAAGTACTTTTACTTGAGAGGAAGAGGACAAGAAGTAGAAACTGGCCTGTTGAAGCAGTTGGAAGAAAGCAATTACAAGACTAATGCTAGGATAGAAAGTAAAAAATAGAACCAAATTCAAAAGGTTCATCTAGTCCAGCGACCAGCAGCAGCCACTGGCAGACAGACATTCCATAGGGAAGTCAGGCTTCCTCCTCAAGCTGTATCTACAGATGAAACTGAACTGCTAACTCAAAACTGTGTAGATCAAGAGCAGGCMCATTCAGGTGTATCTGGATGAGTGATACTCCTCATTCCAGAGCAGGTGATGTTCGAAAGTCAAAGCTTGCTTTCTGTGACTGGGAAACCTCAAAGGCTGGGGTTGGGTACAACCTAATTAAGCTCAATGAAAGACTCCCCACCTGTTATCTGCCCAGCCCTAGATGCTGGAATTACAATCTGTGGTTTCATTACTTTCCTGGGATGTGATTAAAAATGCATGAAACGCMTGAAGAGATTTGAAAGTGCTGCTTTGAACAGATCCGAAGCAAGCCGAAYAAAGACATGAATTGTAATGTGCTTTGGAATAACTTTCTATTGAAAACAATCAGATTTGATTWAAAAAATCAATGCAATAATTAATACTTTTTTCTCCAAAGG